ACAATGTTGGCGTCATATAAGTTACTGATCTTAGGCCTATCTGACCACTAAGAATATTTAGCCAGTGTTGGCTAAGATTGTCTTGTTAGTATAAAATTGCAACATTGTGCCAATACTTGAAATCCATATCCGACCAATCTCGGAAGTAAGTATCGTGCCGAGCTTAAGAGCCAGCGTTGGCTCGATCTAATCATTAAGCATATTCGCCCAGTACTGGCTACTACTGTCGTACCAATATCGAGCCTCGTTTGCCGATATTGACCCAATACTGGGCCGTTCGTCAATTCCTACAAGGGTTGATTTGTGTGTGTGTAAAATTTAATTCGGCGAATGTGTGCGAGATCACGACGGATTATATTGCGACACAGCGCGGAATACCGAATTCGCGCGAACGACACCGCGAGAATTCACGTCGGTGGACGAAGTAGCGCGCGAACGATAAAATCCCCGCGGACTCGTAAGAGGACTGATTCGCTGCGCCGAAGTGTTCGACCATTATTTACACGGCCTCGGTTTCAAGAGAATTCAACCTTCTTCGGAATCCTTGTTCTCTTCACGGAGTAGCCCTTACGCTCTCCGTCCCCGCTGCCTTCGATTCTATTGGAATTTACGACCGATGCCGCGGCAACAGCGTGATTGACTTTTACTTCCGCGGGGGTGGACTCGCGCGCCGCGGACACATCGCTCCCTTTTCCTTTATTGCAAAAGGATTTCCCTGTTGTGCGGGAAACGTGAGAAATCACGCAGGCTCCGGGGCTTTTTATTCGGCAAACAGTAAATTACAATTCTAACGCTCCGCGTTATTAAGCTCGTCGAGTAACCCGCGGTTTATTAAATCAATGTCTCTCGCGTTGAATGCGCGCGACCGACAGACACACCCTTCTCCGTCTCTTCCAAAATGAAAGGAAGAACGAGAGAGAGAGAGCGCGTTCTGTGTGTGTATTCGCGTAGATTCGAACAGATTTCTTTTTCTTCTCTCCGCATTTCCTTCTTTTCATCGACGTTTCTTTTCATCCCAACAGTTTTCTCTTTGTTCTCTTCTCTTCCCGCGTGTGTTTTCGCAAGCTACAAGTAACGATCTCGATTGGGGCGCTGAAATTATTGATCGAAAGCGCGCGTTGTGCTAAAAATCCTTGTTTATTAACCCAGCTCTCGTTGAGTTTCGCGACTGCCAACCGCAATTGCTCCAATGTCCGACCGGAATTTACGGTGTCCGTTTGGACGCTTTCTGTAAAATGGCCAAATTTCCGGATGGGTTGTTACCACGACCGATTCGTTCGGTTTACACAACCGCGATTGTCAAGTAGACGATAGAGTTTTAGCGACACAGGTGTGAAATCAAAGCGAAACACGACTAATGTGTCGCGCGAGTGAGAGCGCAAAGGTGGTGGGAGGGGTCTTGCATTTTCTCGCAGCCGTCGGGGATAAAGGGTTCATTTGCGACGCTGTGAATTCTCTCGGCGCGCGCGTCCTTACTGTCCTTCGGGGCATTTGGTTTTTTTCATTTCTTCTAATTAAACACAGACGCTTTTGGATAGGTTTTCGACCGGGGAAAAAACTGGAGGCGCACACGTCCGTCGTCTTTCTGAAATTTCGCGCGCGTGTTACTCGTGCGGAAAAAGATTTATATGACGAGAGAAGGAGGAGGGGAGGTGGCGATTATCGATCGCGGCCGATCATTATTCCCGTTAGAAGGCGCACTTATCTTCGCCGCGCGCTCGCCGGATTCGCCACTTTCCTCTCGGAAAATATGCTGGCCGTTATTCTTTCGCGGTTTTATGCAAGAAATTCCGACTTTCCGATAGCGCTCCACGATGCATCACGGTCTATATTTCAGAATATATAAAATACACGAACGCGCGAATGCACGACGAGTAATTTATAACGTCGCGAATAATCGATCATAAAAAAATTGAAACTTTTTCGACGCAAATGTCGATATTTAAACGCGTTATCTTTTGTGTCGTAAAAATTACAACGTGAAAAAGCGCCCGCGATTTACGCGTTTCCGTTATCGATTGTAAATCAGAAA